TTTTATGTTTTACTAAAAATATGGGTAAGAATAAATGTTTTATAACATAACGTAGGGAAACTTTTTTTTTTTTACATTTATGGTACTTTTATCATTATATAGTAAAACAAAAAAAAAATAACCCCCCCGTGTGGTCACAAAAGAAAGCTCTATCTGTCCCCAAAAATTTTTAACATAAATTGCAAGGCTATAGTCCGGTCATGCTGACTGGTGAAATTTTTGACTGACTGGTGAGACACCGTAAAATTTTTCAAGCCCTGTATATATATATATATATATATATATATAATTAGAAACAAAGTATAACCTGTTTATCTTTATAAATATTGAACGGGTCGATCATTCCCTGGAATTAGGTGTTCATATATGAATAATGAATGTGAGCTTTTCTATGGTTTGTCAGGTTTAGAGTGTACTAAGTTTTGTAAATAACCAGCACTTCATGATCTCTGCGCTCTCTTTGCAGGCTGCCCCCGCGGTGAATTTCAGTGCAGTAATAAGTTGTGTATTGCTACCAGCTTTGTGTGTGACGGTGTGGATAACTGCGGTGACAACAGCGATGAAGGAGATTGCTCGGTGATCACGTGTAAAGCAGCACAGTTCCGCTGCGGCAAAGGGATCTGCATTCCTGAGAAATGGCTGTGTGATGGACAGGCCGACTGTGCAGATCAGTCAGACGAATCTGAGGATCGCTGCGGCCTGAAAAGTCAGCCTCAGGCAGTGACACTGTGCGGGGAGCAAGAGTTTCGCTGTGGCAACGGCAAATGTATCCACCTGAACTGGAGATGTGATGGAGATGAGGACTGCAAGGACAAATCTGATGAGAAAGATTGCCGTAAGTACAGTGTGTAGTCCTAGAAACAGAAACAAAAAAACTATTATTGGTTAAAGGGGCCCCAAAAAATTAAAGAAGAACTCCAGACCAACAGGAAAATACACAGTGGAAAAACATATATGTGAAGTTTTACTCGCAAGGGATTCTAATTCTGCTGAGCCTGTGTTGTGATTTACACACCTATTCCCCTGAGTGTAGCCTGGCAGGAAACGCCACTATTTCCTATCAATACAAACATAACAAAACCAATCAACTATTTATATATTTTGACTAGGGATGCACTGATACCAGTATTGGTGCCGATGCAGAGTATTTGGGCGAGTACTCGTACACGCCCAAATGCTTCGATACCGGAACTTCTGGTCAGAGGAAATTTGCGGCCTAGGGGAACATGGAGCCAGCTTCCCGTGCGATCAGGAAGATGGGCAGCGAGTAATGACCCGCATCCCGGCTTCCTGATTGGCCGGTTAGCTGGCTCGATGCTGATTGGCCGGGAAACAGGCTTCCCAGGCAATCACAATCAAGTCAGCCAAACAACATGGAGCCGGCCTTCCAGGCAATCGGGAAGCAGGGTGACATGTCGTTACCCGCCGCCTGGCTTCCTGATTGCCCGGGAAGCTGGCTCCATGCCAGCAGAAGCACAAGTAATACTCGATACTGTAAAACTGTTATCAGTGCATCCCTAATTTTAACTTTGTACTTGGAGTTTCCGCTTTATTCCTCATTGGGATTTTTTTAATTTAGCAGAATTGAGTCAGCCAAAAAGAGATGCTGATTGCGCAATGCAGGAAAAAACATCCTCATGAATTCTATTATCAATTTGTTGTTTTTGTATTCTATTATTGGATGGAAAAAAGAATGCAGTACAGTAATTCGTAGCTACCGGTGTGTGCCGTAGGTTATAGTGCATCAGATTTGTGCACAGTGCAGTAATATCGGAACTATTCAGCGATAAAAGGAAGGAACTGTGAGGCCTAAACGTATCATCAATGCATAATGTAACATGAGCATACTGGAAGCCATATTGTTCTTCCTATTCTAGAAGTATCAAGGTGAACTTAAGTTCATGCTTTGGAAAAAACAAGAGCGTCTAACATCAGCCATTCTCAGACCCTCCCAGCATTCCCAGGTTGTAAATTTTGGGGAGTCTAGTTATACCAGACAGCAACAAGATAAGACTGACAATGGTGCCATCTGTAAGATTAATTAAGATGCCATGTCTCAGGCTTGACAAAGAACTATTCAACATGATTTATTTTTTTCTATCCTCTTTTAAACATATGAAAAAGGGTTCACATTGAAAATTACCTGTTACATTGTATTATTATTTGATAGGATTATTATAACCAATATTGTCAATTGTATTATTGTTGCAGGAGATATCTAAATAAAAAAAAATAATAATATAGTGTAATGTAAATGGGTAAGCTGTATTAGTCCAGTAGAGAAGATGTATAAAAAAACAAAAACAAAACGGAGTATTGTAGTATGCGATGATACCTTTCTTATTGGACTAACAAAATATATAAAAGCGTACGCAGTAAGCTGATCCCAGAAGAGGAACGGACACAGAATGGCGCAGTACAATGCAAAAAACCCCGCTGCAAACTTTGCCAACATATATGTGAAGAGTACAGCGAGTCACAACAACAAAATGTACAACATTAAGGGATAATACTCATGTACATCTGCTAACGTGGTTTATATGATACAGTGTTCAGCATGTGACAAAGGCTGTTACATTGGGGAAACTGGCCTTAAAGGAGAATAGCTTAGGGTAACGGGAGGACGCTAGTTTGCGTCCTCCCGTTACCCTAAGGAGAACTATGGGGAAAAACACTGACCCCATAGTTCTCCTTTAAGCTGCATCTCAGGATGAACCTACACAAGAGCTCGATCAAGAAACACAAAGAAAATGTATATTGCACCCCAGTAGGACATCACTCTTCAAGTTAGCGCGTACATAGAATGCATTTTTATTTTTTTATTGCAGCAAATGTTCTGACAGTAACCTATCACAAGCAGTCAGCTTTTAGTTTACTGCAGTTGGATCGGTAAAAGAACCATTCTAATTGGTTGATATGGCTTTGTACATAACTCATGACATACATTTTTTTTTAATCTTTCTATTCTAATTTTAGAAAAAGCCATCATGTACATCAGCGTTCACTAAATGATGGACCGAGGTCCGGATGTGGACCGAATAGCGCTTTAGGCTGGACTGCAATCGCTGGCCTGTGCTGGGTTATGGCTGGCAGTGGAATTACTGGCCTCCAAGGTTTGTGTTCCACTGCCAGCCATAACCCAGCGCAATCCTGCCGCATCTGATTTGAATGAACACATGCGCGTAAAGCATGCATGTTTTTGTTAGGCTTGTAACAAATAAATAAATAGTGCGATGTGCTGTGATTGGCATATCAGCACTGTGTTTGGAAGCACACACCAGCAGCTTTGCATTGTGCTGCAGCTACTGGTGTGAATGCAATCTACATGGCAAACCGCGGTACAGACATGGACTGAGTGACCATTCTGTCTGGACTGTGCCTCATCCTACTAGCTGAGTGCTTACACACCTGCTGTAAAGCAAAAAAAAAAAACCAAAAACATAATTACTGTTGTATGAATTTTTAGAGCTGTAAAATGTTTTTCTTGGCATTGGGTAGCAGATCTGGCAATGCGCCCAGGATTTCCCTTTTATTGTAGGTGAATAATGTTTACATGTATGATTGTTGCAGCTGTGGTGACCTGTCGTCCAGATGAATTCCAGTGTGGGGATGGTGCCTGTGTCCACGGCATGTATCAGTGTAATGGAGTCAGAGACTGCATTGATGGAAGCGATGAGACCGGATGCAGAACTGGTGAGCCCCTCTTATTAAACTAAACAGAATGCAGACTAGAGTATTTTATTTAAAGAGATGTAGAAGTATTTTTCTTAAAGGAGATCTATAAGTTGAGTGCTTTTCACTCACCTCATAGTTCTAGCCGAGCTGTGACAATTAAACTGTCACAGGTCAGCTCAGTAGATCGGGAGGTGAGCGAACATATAGCGGCGCTCGCTCACTTCTCGATCCTGTCACAGCTCTCTGCCGTGACAGGGGAGGGGCTGGATTCCCCCCTCCCCGCTCCGATCCGCCAGCGCTGACTGGCGGATCGGACGGGGGAGGGGGCGGGTACAGCTGGTTCTGCCTCTAGATAGGCAGAGCCAGCTGTCACTCATGCAGCTGGGCGGATCCAGACATAATTGTCGGGATCCGCTTCAGCTGCGGCGTCTCAGTATACCGCGAGCAGTAGCTCCGCGGTATACTGTGGCATCTAAGTATACCGCGAGCTGTATACTGAGCTTAGGGTGACAGGAGGACGCTAGTTTGTGTCCTCCCGTTACCCTAAGGAGAACTATGGGGAAAAGCCTTAACCCCATAGTTCTCCTTTTTAAATCGATGCTTGGCAAAAACAAAAAAAAATTAGTGAGCAGCTCCATCAATTTCTAAACAGTCAGAGCTGAACATTGGAAGAGCAACCTATAAGGGAAAAAATGTCATTAAGATACTTACCTTTCCTCCTGCTTCTGCCCTTGGTGCCTAGGCAAGGGTGACATCATCCTTCTTCTGGCAAGAACCCAGGTAATGTTGAGGAGCCTGAATCTCACAATAACATGCTCCTGCACTGTGTTACAGCTCATGAGATTTGTGCTACGCAGCATTCTGCAGGATGTTGATGGCAGCAGAATAATGTGCAATATGGAAGGTGGGGGTAAGGTCAATCTATGACTATTTTTCCTTATAGTTTTTTTCTATTTGACCATTATAGCATTGGAGAAAAGTTAATAAGTAGACCTTTCGTATAATGCATTATCTCCTTTAAACTGTTATTATTATTACAGGTATTTATATAGCGCTGACAATTTACGCAACGCCTTATGTAGTGCACATTCATATCAGTCCCTGCCGTCACAGAGCTTACAATCTCACATGCACACAGGGCCGATTTAAACAGGAGCCAATATACTTACCAGCATGTCTTTAGAGTGTGGGAGGAAAACTGAGGAAACTGACACAAGCACAGGGGGAAGATGCAAACTCCTTGCAGATAGTGTTCGAACCAGGATTTGAACCGGGGACCCCCAGTGCTGCAAGGCAGCAGTGCTAACCACTAATCCTTTTTGCTTATGTGACTGTTTTTCCAGTACTGGATTCTTTCTGAAAACTCCTGTGTTGTATGTATTACAGCGGAAGCTCCATGTGACACAGAAGGAACCTTTCAGTGTAAGAGCGGAGAATGCATCGACGCCCGTAAAGTGTGCGATTCTCGGCAAGACTGCAGGGACTGGTCTGATGAGCCTCTAAATGAATGTGGTAAGTAAAGCACCCAGTCGTATGGTGACGAGGGAGCATGGAAACCGCTTCCCGGCTAATCGGGAAACAGAGGGGTTATTGCATGCCACCCGGCTTCCGTATTGGGACTTCCGGTATCAGCGAGTACCGAAGAAAAATATTGGTACTCTATACCGAAAACCGGTATCGGTGCTTCCCTAGTGTCCTTGTCAGATGCTTGTCAGCCAGCTCCATGCTCCCTCGTCAAACAGGAAGCCGAGCACCCTGTAATGACTCACCGCCTGGCTTCCTGATTGGCCGGGAAGCTGGCCAATCAGGAAGCCAGGCGGCGAGTCATCTGTTTTGCTGAGCTGGCCACAAAATACAGATGAAGACTGAGTCTATTCCGTAAGGAAGAAAAGCGAAAGGCTTACCAAACCGCCGTGGTGCATTTTGCGCTCTTTGCCCTGTAATGCAGAAGTGCCAAGACAGATTGATCGCTGTGTTGTGCTTCATCTAATAACCTCCTGATTATTTTCCTTACCTCTTCACCGTGATCTTTGTGTATTTCACTATGGTGTACGATGCTGCAATATTAATACCGTTATAATATTATTACTAATAATAATAGGGCATTAGTCAAGTGTGTTCTGCACTCCAGGCAAATGTTTAAAAAAAAAACTAAACCAGTTATGTATTCATTGCAAAAATCATTAAATGGTTTTTAAACTAGAACTTGCCTTTTGGATCTTTAAAAATCTTCAGCGCAGCAGAGCTTAAACGAGCATTACTTTAAGGCAATCAGGGCTTAACTGCCTTAACTGCTTACAGGGAACATGCTTACAGGAGGGAAGAGTAGAGGGATAATCCTATTAATGCTTAAAAACTGTGGAACCAGCACATGATGATCTTCCAAAGAAATTCAAACTTTATTCCACATGCATCTATACAAAGCACAACCGCTGACGCGTTTCTGCCTTACTCGGCCTTAGACAGAGCTATGACTGAATTTCTTTGGAAGATCATCGTGTGCTGGTTTCACAGTTTTTATGAGCCTATTACTACGAAAGAGAGTCATCCGTGCACCGAATGTGGATTGCGGGGACGCATGATAGGGGTGAGCTGTGCGCTTCATGTTTTCAATCTTATTAATGAGCTGCTACTCCTTCACTGGCCAATCACCAGGCTGGAGGACGAGGGGTTAAGAAGAAAGCAGAACCTAAGCAGCATTTTTTTTCCTTCATCACATATCAGGTGGGTAATGATCAATGCTGTGGGTGTATCATTGTTGCGGTGGAAGAGGCAGGGATTTGGGGGGTGTGCGGAATATGAATTTCTAGATATTGGGCAGAGGTAGGGCAAATATTGCATGCCTCTAACTGAGATCCTATTTTTACTATACTTACTATACTTTAAACTTTTTCCTACTTCTAGGTATCAACGAATGCTTGATTTACAACGGAGGATGTTCGCACATCTGCAAAGACTTGAAGGTGGGGCACGAATGTGAGTGTCCAACAGGCTACAAACTGATCGACAAGAAGACTTGCGGAGGTAAGGGAAAAACTCTTGCAGCTTCCTCAGCACCTCAGTGGTCACAGCTTGACTCTTCCTTATCGTACAGAAACACTGGCTTATTCACTAGAATACTGCATTGATCAGTAATAATCTGCAATGTCCAGTAACCCAGATCATCAATTCAAGTCCAATGAAAAGGAATCCTGTTTAATTGCTGTAAGTTGCAGCATTTTATGCATTGACTTCCTGAATAAGCCTTATTAGGTGTTGCTTATAAATTTTAAATCAAGCAAAGAATTTTAAGCAGACTTAGGCAGTAAAATGCAGTTTAATTAACTTTGATTTTCTTTTTAAACACTGGGCCCATTGTTTAAAATATAGATAGCTCATTTTTTTTAACCCATACTGGAAAATGTCAAATTGGATCTTAAATTGGACCTTGCAGTGCAAAGTCCACTTATAATGCCCTGGCCCCCTCCCTCTGTAACAATTACTTGCAGAAAGTAGGAACAAAATGTACTTTTAAAGAAAAAAGTTTGATTTTTGCCTTACCATCGTTTTCTGCCCATGGAGCCCAGGCGAGGGTGGCGTCATGCTCCATCTGGGAAATGCAGAGCAGCCCCTATCTTGTGAGAAGACTTTGTTGCAGTGGATTAGAATGTCTTCTGGCGAGCTTTGGTCCGTTCTGCTTTCCCCAGGAATCTTCCTGGGAGGGTGGTGATGTCATGCTGAGCGATGCGAAAGACGGGGCAAGGTAGGTATGCATCTATTTTTTTTTTCTTTACATATACATTTTGCACTTACTTTCTGCAGTTGATTTCCAAAGGGGGAAGGACGTTATAAGTGGACCTTGCCTATATAGCACTGCAAGGTCCTCTTTAAGGCCCGGTTCACACCTGGGCGTTTTGTAGCGCGTTCCTACACTCTGCAAAACGCTCAAACACCGAAATCCCATTATTTCCTATGGGCATGGTTCACACCTGGGCGTATTACAGGCCGTATGAACGCGCTACAAAACGTCCTACGCCCAAAGAAGTACAGGAGCTTCTTTGGGTCATTTTTGTTGCACGTTTCCATTGGGATACAGTCAAGTAGCCCTCGGAAACGCGCGTTTGTGACACGTTTTTTTTACCGCGAATCGTGCGACACGAAATGCGCGACAAACGCGCCTAGGTGTGAACCCAGCCTAAAGTCAAATTGAACCTTCAGTTTTAATCGGCTAAATACACTCTAGGTGCGTCAGCAAAGCTCATGCTCCCCATTGATTAGAGAGCTCTGACTCAGCAGTGGTGTTGTCAGACCTCTACAGAGAGACCACTGATGCCACACAAAGCAAGGGTCCTTCTCTGCAGCAGGAGGCAGGCTTTTATACTCAGGTTGTGGCTGTTTTAGAAAGAAAATGAACCATAAGACACTGAACACCATTTATTTTAGTGCACCTGAAATGTATTTAGCCGCTTTAAACAGAAGGTGTCGTTGGGCTTTACGTTCCAATCTGACATTTTCTAAGTACAGGTTATAAAATGAGAAGCACTTTATTGGTTGCTATAGGCCAAGTGCTTTTATTATTTTTACTAATGGACCAGTTGTTTAAAAATAACATTAAAGTTAATTACATTTTCTGGTGGCAAATTACAGTTTTATGTCTTTTCACTTTGTCTCTTATTTCCAATACATTTCATATGCAATGACTAATGATAAAAAGTGTAGATCAGAGAAACCCAGCCTTCTAATAGCCTAGAGAGATATTATAATAATGTACGTTAGGTATAGCAGATGCCCATTGTATATTGTATATTTACCGGAGGCACTTGTATTCAGTCAGTCAGTACAGCAATACCTCTTGTATGCAAGCACTAAATGAAAACCGTCTCCTCGTGGTTAACCAGTTAAAAGAATATTCCACCTTTTGGACCTTGTATCATGCTACAATCATATTTAGGGTGCAACCTGAAGCATGGCCACATAAGCCAGCCCCCCTCCATCAAACACAGGATCGTAGATCTCAAAGTGTGACAACATCACCGCTGTAGTTCATTGATTACCTTCTCCAGCCCCATAACTGAAGGTCTGTACTCAAGTACGGACCTGAGGTTAGGAAAAAAAAGTCTGTAGGAGCCTGTGCATTGCATCCATGATCCACTGATCGCAATGCTTTGCAGGCTCCAGTCCAAAAAAAATTATAAACGCACATTTTCCTTGTATTAATCTGTGTGCATTAATTTTTTTTAAAGTTGGACTATGACTATAACCTCCATTAAACTTAGGAAGCCTCCAAGAAGATGTGATCTATAATTCACACAGCCGGGTAAAACAAATTCCAGTTAAGTTAAGTGTTGTGTAAAAAGAATTCTAGCTCCATATTTACACAGGGTTTTAGATTCTATACAATGTCATCATTCAAGCTGCTGGTGTTTGTGTTATCTGAAGCAGCTGGTAGGATTGTTCTGGAATAGCTAGCAGAACATTTGCTTTTTGGATTTAAAAAAAAAACGTTTTCCTTTTTAAAGGAGAACTAAAGCCACACCTTTTTTTTTTCTTTTGCTTTAGTCCTTTTTTGGGTCAAATGAGTATATTTCAGGGGTGTGGAATTCCTATCGCCAGATGCCCGGGACATGCAGTTACGGGCGCCGGGCGAGTAGTTTTTTTGTACATTTAGCCCTACAGAGCTGAATGTACAGCGGGGAGCCGCCGCTCGTTTTTATACAAGGGCTCTGATCAGATCACTTGTATGAAACGAGCAGCAATCTTGTCGGTATTGGCGAGTACCGAAATCAAAATATTGGTACTTGTACTCGATACCGAAAAGATTGTATTGGTGCATTCCTAGTTTTGATTAAAACTATTTATTTTTTCAAGGATTTTTCTTAGCAATTCTAGTTATATTATACTAGGAATCTACAGACAGCTCGTTTTGTAGAATAACTTGTAATGTGCAATTAGGGAATAGATTAAGGGACAGGTTTTTATGAAATGCATTAACATACAATGTACCTCCCAAGCCCTGTGATCTGATCTTAGGACAGAATATGCACATTTAGTTTATGAGATCTGCCAACACATTAGAAACAGTCTGGGCCCCCACCCACTATAAAATGACCTGCACAGGGTATGTGCAAAATGTACTAGTAAAGAAAAAAAAGTTTGATTTTTGCCTTATTCATGTCTTCCTCCAATGGTCCCTAGATGAGGGTGATGCCCTACTCTTTCTGGTGAGATCCTTGGAAATGCAGAGCAGCCCTTATCTCATGATAAGACTTTCTTGCAAAGGACTGGAGTGTCTTTTCATGAACATTGGCCTGCTCTGCATTCCCCAGGAATCTTCCTGGAAGGGTGGTGATGTCATGCTGACCGATCCGGAAGACAGGGGTAAGGTAGGTAGGTCTAGATTTTTTTCCCCCCCTTTACATATACATTTTGCACTGACTTTCTGAAGTTGATTTTTAAAGGGGGGCACATATTTGTCTTTCCTTCACTCCACTGCCACCTAATTCAGCCATTGGGAACAAATAAAAAGAGCCATGTGACGTATCTCCTTTTTTTCATATGACTACACTGATGATTGGCACTGCCACATGGGGTGGGGATTGAGTCCTCAGTCCTGTGTAAGCTCTAAAGGTTGTCATACACTGTGTAAATTTTGGCAGGTTCTTGAGTAACTGGCTGAAATATGCACAGTGGTTGCCACTGTCAACACCCTTTCGGCCGCCATCCCTCGATAAGCTGATCAAAGGAACAGGTCAGAAAATCTTCATATGAACTGAGCCAGCAGCCAATGAGCTGCCTCTCTCATTTAGAAAGTCAATACTCTGTAATGAAAAGTTTACCTTAGTCCCTGATCAAATGTAATGTATTTCAACTTTTGTTTTAATTTAGAACTAAAGCCCAAACTGGCTTTTGTTTTATATAGAATAAGGGAGGATTATAACCTCTGTCAGCTTTTTTGCCATCTGTGTCCCAAAAGGAAAATGTCCCATTGGGGAGGAGATTTCTTCACTTCCTGTCCAATAACCTCAACAGGAAGTGAGGGAAATCCCTGGTGGTCAGCAAGGTTACTTGAACTAATGTCCTCCTTTGGAAGATTTCCCATCTATTCCGGTTCTGGTGACAACCCAAAATATGGCATTTTCTTTCCCTTTCAGTGATCATGTTCACCAGGACAAATACAGAGGGTGAACCTCCCTAATGGAGAACACATAAAATCCTGACAGCTTCTGATCCCGCTTCACTCTATCAACCCTGTTTTGGTTTCAGTTGCTCTTTGTGTTTCCTCCCATACCTTCAGTTCTGAATTACTGTTTGTTTTACATGTTTATACGTAAATTAAATGTTATGAACAGCGGGGTTATACAGAAGAGATTATCACTGATCACCAATAAGGAACATGCCGCAAATCTCCATAACTAAAAACAACCAATCAGAAATAATTGGTATTCGGTCTTCCTGCTATGAACTCATTAAAGGTGAAATGATGGCCTTTCATTCTGTCTTGTTAAAATCACTCTGGGATGGTAATCTGGAGTTATTGCTCTGTACCTGAAACATTTTCTCTGATTTTTAGATATTGATGAGTGTGAAAACCCCGATGCCTGCAGTCAGATCTGTGTGAACTACAAGGGAGACTATAAGTGTGAATGTTATGAAGGGTACCAGATGGACGGCGTGTCTAAAATCTGCAAAGCTGCTGGTGAGTCTGCTAGGTACCAAGACAATTACTTTTTACGCACATGTACAGGAGAGAACCTATAATGTAGAGTAGGCCGGTGACCGCTCTCCTTAATGTCCTCTCATAACTGTAAATGGGCCTGGGAGAAGATGTGCCAATAAGATCATATAACGTATCATCTGTCTGTCAGATGTGCCAGCAGTGTTATATACCTGAACAAGTCTGGCCCTGATTATCCAATGAGTTAAAAGAGAACTATGGCCAAACCTTTTTTTTTTTTAGAGAGGATAGTACTTCCTGAAGAATCACAATAATATGTGCAAAACAATTAAAGGCACTTGTTATATCACATCCACAGGCTATAAATTAAAGCAATTTCCATGTTTTGTTCAGCCATGAAATTGTATAATTTACCAAGCTGTGTAAACATAATATCTCATTTCATATAACTTGACTAGTTTCCTGTGGAGTGGGATTCTACAGCCTCGTAAATCATAATAATATATTACAAATCTAAGTTTCCTGCCTGTCATTTTTCTGACACTGTAGCCAGTCGATGACCATGTTTTCTTGTTCTCCGCAGGGCAGAGTCCATACCTTATATTCACTAACCGCCATGAACTACGCCAGATTGACCTTGTCCGCAGAGATTACTCCCGCCTGGCCTCACAGCTAAAAAATGTGGTATCCTTGGATGTAGAGGTCATAGGCAAAAAGATTTATTGGTGTGACCTCTTTCACCGGAAGATTTACAGGTAAGAACTGATGGGAACTGTGACTTCAAACTATAGAGGGGAGTCAATGTCAGAAGATTGTATTACTTCACTGATTAGTAGAACAGAAGAGACAAATGTCCACCGTTAGAATTTGAATAGACAGCTTGGGCCTGGAGATGGAAGGATCAGATAAAGCTGGACATCTGTGGATTTTTTTCCGGCTGCGAACCACAGCAGGGAAGAAAGGATCGGTATACACTGGGTTCCCTGCTGTGAGGAACATTTGTCCTAATAAAATCCAACACATCAGTCATAGGGAGGTGAAACTTAATCCATCTGATACAGTACATATTATAAGCTATGTGTCTGTATAATATGGTAGGTTTAGGTTCTATCCAATCATTTACAGACCGACAAAATGCTTATTTGGGTCCTGCTTGTGAAAGCCATGCGGTAAGTTGTCTGTGGTTCCACTTTAACTACAGGGCAGGTCCACCAAATCTGCATATATTAGCAAAACTCCCTGCATCTACAGGAGCAAACTGATGGATAAACAATGATTTATGTATTACAGTGCCCCCCTGGAGCGAGCTGCAGACCCCTTGGAGCATGTTGTGCTGATTAATAGTCACCTCCACTCTCCGGAGGGCCTAGCAGTGGACTGGATTCACAAGAACATTTATTGGACCGACTCCGGCAACAAGACAATCTCTGTGGCAACCACAGATGGCTGCAAACGGAAAACCCTGTTCGACCAGAGCCTGCAAGACCCCAGAGCTATTGCTGTTGACCCCACATCAGGGTAAGTGGAAATTGGAGGTTGACACAATGTAAAAACTAGGGATGCACTCAGTGGCGTAACAATCGCCATAGCGACCCATGCAGCCGCTATGGGGCCCGGAGCACAGGGGGGCCCGGCCAGATGCCATGCGGGCCGTCTGGACTGCTGTGGCATCTTATGCTGGTGGCTTTCACTGGCGGCTGTGAGAAGAATGCGCTGCTGTTCAGATCACTGAAGATCAGATCAGCTGCTGCGGAGTTAATGAGAGCCAGCAGTGGCGGTGGAGCAGGCTGCACCCGGCAGTGGAGGAGGAGGTGGGTCCCGGTGACGGAGAAGGAGGCGGGGCCCATCAGCGATAGTGCAGGAAGAGGAGGTGGACAGGTAAGGAGCGTGACCAGCCCACCTGAGGGTGACCCTGCAGAGCCCACCATAGAGAGTCTATGGTGGGCTCTGCAGGGTCACCCTCAGGGGA